TCTGCCTCCTCTTTCACACAGATCCCTGAGCCTTTGAGGGGAGGGGTTTTAGAAAGACATCCATTCTGGCCTGAGCATCTTAAGTCTCTCATTCTCTGCATGCAGTGCAGTTGTGCATCTCTGTGTTAATTCCCATCTGCTGCAAGAAGAAGCTTCTCCACTGAGGGTTGAGTATGGCCTTGCTCTAAGGGGACAGCAGTATGTCACTAGGAGTCTTTTTATCGCTATGTTCAGGTAGGAGAATAACACTAATGGTTTTCCCTAAGCACATGACCTATCCAGTCTCATGTTCTTGACCTAATTAACAATATCAGGCTTGAGCTTCATCTCATGAAGTGAACCTAAAATTCATTCAAAAAGTAGATGGTTACTCCCATAATACTGTGTCACTATTGCCCCAATGGGCATATCTTAAAGGTGGGTTATTGATATAGCTTGCAAAGTTTGAAACTGGGTAAGACTCATGATTACAGCAAAAGACATCATTATTTGCACAAAAAGCCCACGGAGTGGGAGAAATCCTTTAACAACTGTACATCTGGCAGAGGGTATTTAGAACATAAAAACCACCCCCCCAAAAAAATGAAACTGAATATATGGGGGGGAAGTGAATTAAAAAATAAGGTATAGAACTATACAGAAAGTTCTCAATTTTAAGAGGGGAAAAAGCAAGTACCAGTCCTCTTCCAACTAGGAGAAGAGATTACACAAACAACAGGAGACAGGGATCATGGGGTCACATTACAGTCTTCATATCTCAACATCTGTAGTGGTGTCTGCACCATGAGGGTTTGACAACCATGGATCTCAGGCTGCATGACCTGGCCTTCATAAGAAGTCAACCCTAGGGCTGCAGAGATGGCAGTGGCTATGAGTACTGGCTGACATTCTGGAGGTCCTGAGTTCAAATCCCAGCAATCACATGGTGGCTCACAACCATCTATACTGGGACCTGATACCCTCTACTGGTATAAAGTCATAATGCAGATAGAGAACTCATATATAAAATAAATAAATCTTAAAAAAAAAAAAGTCAACTCTACCCTTTTGAGAGAAACCGTGACTATCATTGGCCCTAAAAGTTCACTCTTATGAGTACTCACAAGAGAAATAAAAATGAATGTCCACACAAAAGTGTGGACATAGTCACAGCAATATTATTCAGAACAGCCAAAAAGTGGAGATAACCCAAATGCCCATCATCCAGCAAATGAATGTTTACAGGTGTAGGACAAAGCATGTAGAAATTTTAAAAAAAAGAAAATACTGAGATACGCTATTACACAGATGACCTCCATAATCGTCATGTTAGGAGGAAAGAAGACAGTCACAGAGAATCGTGTATCATATTGTTTTACTCATGTCCACAGTAGGGAAGCCTACAGAGACAGAATGCCTAGAGCAGAGAGTACAGAATGAAGAATGAAGGTGTTGTTGGTTGCACAGTCGTGTGAAAATACTAAACTTTTTTTTTTGGGGGGGGGGTTTCGAGGCAGGGTTTCTCTGTGGCTTTGGAGGCTGTCCTGGAACTAGCTCTTGTAGACCAGGCTGGTCTCGAACTCACAGAGATCCTCCTGCCTCTGCCTCCTGAGTGCTGGGATTAAAGGCATGTGCCACCAACACCCGACAATACTAAACATTTTAAGTTGACGAACTTTGCATTACATGAATTATATCTCAATAAAGCTTTACTAAATAAGGCTTATAAGTTGCATCATGCAAGAAAACCAACCAAAACATACTGCTTACACACCAAAATATTTGCACAGTGGTATTTCTCTGATATTTAGATGATTTATAGAGATCCTAAGTATTCAAAATGTAGACCATCTCAGAAAGTCTATACTACCAAAGCTCTTTCCAGTGCAGACACAGAAAAGCAAAACAAATGTGCACTGATGATAAGTGGTTTTCCCCCACAGCTGAGCAAAAAAAAAAATCACTTAGCTTCTCCAGAATGCTTGTCTGCATCCATTTCTCTCTTCTCTGGCTAAAACCTCTTTGTTTCCCACATATCCTCAAACACTTGAACACCAATATACTTTAAGAAAAGTATACTGTCCCAAACATTTGCAGTACTCTGAGCTTTAACATGCAGTAATTCTGATCTCACCGTGCAGAATAATAGGTTCTCCAGCCACTTTTATCCAAAAGTATGCCTGTTTCTCAGATGGACATTTTCAGAGAACCAACAGAGCTGACTAACTACACCTTCGGACACCAGGTTACAGGAAAATGTGCACCCATGCTTGTTTAGAATTGTATTTCCCAAGCCGGGAGTTGGTGGCGCACGCCTTTAATCCCAGCACTCGGGAGGCAGAGGCAGGCAGATCTCTGTGAGTTCGAGGCCAGCCTGGTCTCCAGAGCGAGTGCCAGGATAGGCTCCAAAGCTACACAGAGAAACCCTGTCTCGAAAAACCAAAAAAATAAATAAATAAATAAATAAAAGAGAGAGAGAGAGAGAGAATTGTATTTCCCACGTTTGTCAACTTGCCCATTCACAAGCTTCCTTCCTCTCCACACTACTTAGCACTGCTCTATTGCAGCAACTCACATGAACAGAAGCTGTGGGCTAAGAACTCCTGGAGGCTTGCTAGAGTCACCTGACCACTGCGCATGCGCCCCTCCCTAATAAAGCAAGGGTTTTATTTTTTGTTTTGTTTTTGTTTTGTTTTTTTGCTTTGGTTTTTTTGTTTGTTTGTTTGTTTTTGTTTTTTCCTGTCACCCGTCCTTCCCTTACTGCTTTGTGGGAGCAGGAAAAATAAAATAAAATAAATGTGTTTTCTGCCACAATACTGTCTAGGGCTTCAAAGACAACATAAGTCTTTTCATTCAGAGCTGTTCCTAGTGCCAACGTGACTCCAAGGGCTCTCCAGAGTAAGAGATAACGCCCTTCAGGTAGCACAAGCCCCTTCAGAACACCCCTCTCCCACCTATAGGAACCTTCACTTCAGAGATCCAGCAAGTAGGGACAGTTAAAGGCCCAGCCTCAGGACCCAAAGACCCTCAGCAGTCACCCAAGACCTCAACCGGCTATTCTCTTAGAGAAAACAAAAACAAAAACAAAAAAAACTGTCATTCTGCCCCTGGTCTCTAAGAAGAACTCCCCTCAACCCTGTTCTAACCCAATTTCAAAGTAATCTCTAACAGGGTGGTTTCTCTAGCCTAATCTCTAGGACAAGTCAGGAATTCTCTACTCAAAACTGGGCCCTACGGCCTGGGCTTGCTTCCCCAACCCAATTAGCTCCCCGCTGCACCACACAGAGGTGTGGATGGCAACTTCCTGGATACTGCGCTATCCAGATCCACCCGTCAAGGCCCTGGAGTTTAACCTAGTTCCTGTGATTTGAGGTGGTAGGATTTGTTTTGTTTTTAATTCCTAAAATATAGAATCAAAAGTAAAAGCAAATGTTCTGGTATGTTCAAATTGTGAGTCTTTTCAGAGTCACAGGTCATAGTCATATTGAACCTCTTTTTAAAAAACAGAAAGAGCCATCTTTCTGGCTCAGACTATCTCTTGATTAGAAAAATATATTTCCGTAGTGCTGGGCACAGAGGAAGGAAATAGCTGGAGAGGAAAACGACAGGGAAGGCATCTAGCAGAGCTTGCAAGTCTCAGCCGCAGCTCAGCAGCCCTCTGAGGTCTAACCTTCCCCAAGGCTGATGCAGGTGCGCAACAGCGTCGGGAATCTGGAATTCAGTTCCTCTTCACTGTTCCTGTCCAGGCCGGCTGCTTCAAAAATTATGTCTGCGCTCGCACTTTCTCTTGTTAGTACTTCCTCCTGCAGCCAAAACAAACACCAGGGTATGGCAACACACAATCCTAGACATGGGGGTTGAGGGCGGATATCTCACTGCATACATGTGGCGCAGAAAACACTTCTCAGAGAAAAGGGAAGAGGGCTCTCTTTTTATCCTGCTTTCTGACCTTGTGCCTGCCTCGTCCTACACTCAGACGGCTGAGGTTCTTCAGTCTGCAGTCCCTGCCAAGCCTTCGCTGACCTCAGGCTCAGGTTGATACAGCTGTGGCCCTAGACCAACCTCACAAGGAGTGTGGCTATTCTGGGTGATAGTGTTAACCCAGCAGGCTCCATGTGCCCTGCTCATCAAATAATCACACCACAATGGGCAGGGCCCTCCCACTAAGAAAATGCCCTACAGGCTTGCCCACCAGGAGGCACACCAATCCTGAGCCTGTGCATACCCCTAGACATTCCCCTTATGCTGCCCTATAAGATCTCGGTCCCATGGCTTCTCAGAGTCTTTTCTCAGCCATCCGCCATGGTGGGTGGATGAAAGGCCCGAGCTAACATGGGGTTAGCTCGTTAAACAACTGGAATAAAGCCTCCTGCTGTTTGCATCAAGCTTTCGCCTCCGCCTGGTGATTGGTGTCCCTGCAGTCTTGGGCCGAAATCCTCGGGGCCTGAGCCACCGGGGTCTTTCAAAACTATCTGTGGGGTGGGCAGCAAAGGACACAATAATGTGGTAAAGGAATGGGTGTAGGAAATGATTGGTCACACTGCAATGGTCAGTGCCAAGAACTAAGGGAATTTGATGTCTATTTCTAAGACTGTGAGATATGAAACTACTTCTGAAAGACCCTCAGATTGAGAAATCTCCAACCTGGACGGTCGCCAAAGAACTCAATATCCAGTCCAGTTGATGCAACACGTAAGAGGTTTTATTGCAGTTTTTTAACGAGCTAACCCCATGTTAGCTCGGGCCTTTCATCCATCCACCATGGCAGATGGCTAGGAAAAGACACTGGGAAGCCACAGCATAGAGATCTTATAGGGCAGCATAAGGAGAGTGTCTAGGGGTATGCATAGGTTCAGGATTGGTATGCCTTCAGACTTGCCCTGTGTTGATTGGCCAACTGGTTGTTATGGCCCATAGGCCCTCCCAGGGTGGTTGCTATGCTCTGCACGTCATTGCTGTGTACTTCTCCGTAGAGCACACCCAGAGCCGTAAAGCATAGCACTACCAGCTAACTCCTGATTGGTTCCTTGCCACGAGACAGGCATCTGACCTCCTAGTGACCAAGGCAAGGTCAGGCAAGCATGTGTTAGGCTGTTATGGCTGCCGAAATGGGGAGCTGGTCCCTTCATTTAGTTATCGTGAATTCTACTGCATCAAGCCTTTGTCAAGAGGACTTCTTCTGGAGTTTCCCAAGAAAACATATATTCTTGAGTTGATCTTCCAGGATCAGGGTCTTCCTTGGTCAGAGGTCCCATGGCAGGCCAGGCTGCTGAGCAGTGACGATGACAGTTGTCTACCTCATGTCAAGCACCTCCGAATGACTGAGACCTCAACAAGCAGTGTTGTGACCTATGGGTCACCCCAGTATCTGAATAGTACTCTCTTACACAAAGTTGTCCCAACCTATGATGTATGCCTCAAAGCAAGTGTGAACCTTCCACTCCAGTTGTTTCTAGGGAGCCCAGTCACTTGTCAGCTTTCTCTCTTGAGCTTCTTTGCCCCTGTATGAAGAAACCCCATCAAGTGGATCAATCCTTTTTGGCTTGTGGTAAATCACTTTTAGTGGTTCAAAACTTGTCTTTGGACTTTTTCTAGTTTACAAAAAGTGATCCTATCTACTGGTCAGAGAAGGCAGTTCTGAAAGCATGAGAGAAACTTGGGATCGGTGGAAATGTCATTCTATCTTCATGGGGCATTGCTTACATGGGAGTGTACTGACTATTCCTGCCATGAAGGATTCACAATAACAAAGGCGAAATGCTTGTGCCAGTAAGAGGTTCAACGGTAAACAGCAATGTGCTCATCTGAATAACATGAAGAGATTAATTAAAGCCCATTGCAGGCCTAGGAGTCCCCAGCTGTGCATGGAATAAATGAGTTTTATTTCCTTGATATAGAGATATAGAGACTTATTAGTTATAAATGCTCGGGCTAGCTTAGGCTCGTTTCTGATTAGCTCTTTTAACTTAAATTAAGGTTTACAGGATGAGGAGGGGAAAGAGCGGCTGAGAACCAGATTCTGGGTTTGAATCTGCACAACACAAAACTAACAGCTTTCTAGGAAAAACAAGGAGTCTGAAAACAAAGGGGACATTTTTTTGGAGGACTGGAGATGCATATCTAGGGTTCAAGTCCAGGCCTCGGGCTGCTGCTATCAACTACATGAAATCAGTGGGATTCCAGCGGCATATGTAACTCAGCTAATCAGAAAAAAGCATGTGAGCAGTTGAGTTGCTGTCTTCTAAACAGAGTTTAACATGGATCTGAAAAATACCCCAGATTCTGCACCAAAGTCCAAAGCATCAAGGTTTTCCTACTATGAGTCAGCAAGACAGTCCCATTTCCAAAGAGTTCATTACTTACTAAACTTTGGTTCCAAAAGAAGCCTTTTATTGTAAGGGAAAGAACACTGACTTGTAAGGTGTATGAATATGGGGCTCGGGTAGATGTGGGCATATGCTGGTGCTGTGTGGAAGCCAGAGGACAAGCTCAAGTGTCATTCCTCAGAGGAGCCATCCACCTTTGCTTTTAGGCAGGATCTCTCCCTGGCCTGGAATTTTCCATCTAGTCTAGGCCACTGGCCAGGGATTCTCAGAGGTCCACAGATCTCCACATTCCCAATGAATGAGATTCCAATCATGCCCCACCACACCCAGCTTTGTCTCCCTGGGGGTCATTCTGGGTTGTTAAGATTGCATAGCAAGCCTTTACTGACTGAGCAACCTTCCCAGGTCCTGGACCTATAATTTTGACTTATCTCTGTCTCACTGACTCCATCAGTCATGAATGTATCAATTTATCCACCACAAAGACCTGACATAGACTAAGGTTTCATCTAGCCCCACCTTTTGATAATTTAATTTTATTAGTTTTCTAACTTGTGTTAGTAACCAATTCATTTTAATCTGGATAATAATAAAGAAAATGAATTAATAATTCTATGCCCAAACTGTATAAGATCTATCTGGAAGGATCCATACAAAACATTTAGAAGCCAGGCGTTGGTGGCACACGCCTTTAATCCCAGCACTCAGGAGGCAGAGGCAGGCAGATCTCCGTCAGTTCGAGGCCAGCCTGGTCTCCAGATCGAGTGCCAGGAGAGGCTCCAAAGCTACACAGAGAAGCCCTGCCTCAAACCCCCCCCAAAAAAAAAAGAAAGAAAGAAAGAAAAAAGAAAAAAGAAAAAAACATTTAGAATTTTTCAATCAAATTGGTGGAAGTATATATGTTTTCCTTAATATATGTGAAGAAGTCATTGTTGGGCATGATGGCACTTACCTGTAACATCAGTACTCTGGAGACTGAGGAAGGAAGAGCACCAATTTGAGGCCAGTCTGTGCTGTATAGGGAGAACCTGTACCAAAAATAAACTTTTCCACAGTAAAGAAGGCACAGTCCAGGGTTGGAGAGATGGCTCAGTGGTGGACCCTGTTCAATTCCAAGCATCCACATTATAGCTCACAACTGTCTGTAACTCCAGTTCCAGGGGATCTAACACCCTAACACAGACATACATGCAGACAAAACACCAATGCACATGAAATAAAAATAATTTTTAAAAAATAATTTTTAAAAAAGCCATAGGCTTCTGGCAGATTACATGTGATCTATCTTGGTAAGATGTCTGTTTGCCTAGAGGACCAGTTCATAATACAGAGTAACAATGTGGCAGAGATAAAAGATAGGCGCATTCATATAGAATGCATAGGAACAAGCCACGGGTAAGTGATATGACCTCCAGTGGGGATTTGTGTCAGTGTCAGCCAACATGGAGACTAACATCACCTAAAATTATATAATAGCTATATAATAGAGATAAAACAAAAAAACCTCTTGGAACTGATAGTAAGCTGGGCCCCTCTTTTTGATAGTGCTTTACACATTGAGTGATGCCATGTGCTTATCAGGTGAGGACCATGGTGTAGCTCCCTGTTGGTGACATCTATGCTAAGTCATCTCTGCTTCTTTTCTTGGCTTGTTTGAGTCTCAATCCTTCTCAGAAAGCAAGCATTACCATTGGACTTGTTTGAATTAGAAACGAGGATAGTCCTGAGGACTATGCTTCTAATCTGACAGGGGGCTAAATCCTCTGCAATACCACAGCAATGCAAATAAATAAAATTTGAGATAAATATTATTTTCCCCAAACATTGGTGGCCTATGACAATTCCCCACAAAGCAGTCAACAGCCTTCTGAGATATTCTTATCTTTATGCCTTTTCTCTTAGTCTGTCTACTGTTCCTTTAGTGCACTCTTCCAAACCTGAAAAAAAAATGTAATTTTTAAAAACACTATTTACAAAAAAAAGGGCTTTTTGTCTGCATGTTTATGTGTATCATGTGTGTGCAGTACCCAAAGAGGCCAGAAGACGGCACCAGATGCCCTGGAACTGGAGTTACAGGTGGTTGTTAGCCACCATGTGTGTGCTAGGAACTAATGTTCTCTACAGCTGAACCATCTCTGTAGTCCTAGAAATTCTTACTTTTAATGAAAGTCATTTTCCTGTGTTTATGGATTTTTTACTCCTTCATATCTATTTCTTTGGAATTTCACCTTACAATTAAGCCACTGCTATTTCTTCTAATTGTTTATGGATATATTATTTTTCCCTACCATGAATACTAAGTCTATTAAATTAAAAAAGTAGCATTCATGAAGGATGTAGCCATGCCTGGGTTAAAATAGTGCTTACTAGCATGAATGAAGCCCTAGATTCAACCACCACCACCCCCAATCCTCAGCACTACATTAAAACATGGGCATTGTGGAAGCGACCTGTAGTCCCAGCACTCTTGAACGTAAAGGTAAAAGGATCAGGAGTTCAAGGTGATCCTTAGCCACATAGCAAGTTCAATGCCACCCTGGGCTCCATGAGATCTTGTCTCAAAACAATTTCTTTTTTACAAAGTAACATTCTCAAACCCAGATCTACCACTATGGAAATCAATATGAAGGTTCCCTAAAACACTAGAAACAGAACTATCATACGGTTCAACTGAACCATGTTAGATACATACCCGAAGAACATTATCAGTGCACCACTGAGGTGTCTCAGCATCTACATTTACTGCTGCACTGTTGAAGACGATTGGGAAATGGAACCAGCCTGGCTGTTTGTCAAGAGATGGATGAGTGGATAAAGAGATGTGCGACGTGCACACTATGGAGTTTCATGCAGCTGCAAAGAAAAGTAAGGTCATAACATTTGCAGGAAATAGATGGCATTAGAA